CCACCTGTGAACAGTCCAGACTGAACACAGTAGAGGATTTCACAGCCATCACTGATTGCAGCAAGGTGCTGACTGAACTTGGGAGGGCACCTGCGTTGATTCCTTGCCAGTGGGTTGGTTGACTGACAGCTGAAGAGACCTCCGAATGGTACTGAGAATCTGGTACCTGTCTCATAGTCTTTACTCATACAGATCACCTCACCATCTGAGAGGTACTTTAGTGGAATGAAATTTGGGGGGCAGCTTTTGCTTTTTGTGAGGGGGTTCAGGAGCGAGGGGCTGTATATGCCTCCAAACAGATACCCTGAGTTTTCTGGAGCCTGTCCATTTATAGAGCACCAGTAGGTGTTGATGCGAGCAGAACGAACATAGTTGTTGTCTTGACAACGTGTTTTGTGACAAGTGAAAAAACCCCAATAGGAATGACTTTCCTTGTGACATTCATACTTGGAGTAGCTCTGAAGTCTCACCTCTGATCTGAGTAAAGTTGGTGAGTAAGGTGGACGGCAGGAGAAGTCACCTGTATCTGGGTTTTTCTGGGCCAGGGCATCACATAGTGGATCTGCATCTGAGCTGATTTTAACACACTCTTGGTAGACACCACCAAAACTGAGGTTGGTAGCTGAACCCTCACAGGAATTATCATCCATGTTAGCCTGGAAGTTGAAGTTCTTGGAGTTGACATCAACACACCCAGGGCGAGTATTGATCTTGTAGTAGCGCTCTACAGCCTGTCTGACTGTCTTTAAGAGCAACTTTTCCAATCGTAGGGTGTGGCAGATCAGTGAGAGTGTTGGTGTTTATGAAATAGTGCAGAGGAAATCCTGAGCGATCGATGGCAACAAGGTTGTTTCTGGTACTTTCCTGCCACTTCTGCAGAGTGATACCAGGATAAAAGGGTGCACCTCCGTGGCTTTGAATGAGGGAGTACTGAATATTGGATTGATATGTTTGAAGTGATGAGCTCTGTTGGGCACTTTGACTGCTAATGTCAAACTTTAGTTTATCAAAGAAGTTTAATCCAGCCTGTGCTTTAACAGAGGAGCTTTGTGACTGGCTGTCTGACACATAAGAGGAACAGAGATAGTCCTCCTGCACCAAAGCCGCCCCAGCATCCACACTAGTGATGACATGAGTCCCATAGTCCAGCACCATC